TATCTTCCCTTAACAAAATATTTATCAATCTCAGATTTAAAATTAACAACTGATTCAGCATTCACTGCCATTTGTGGAAGATATTTGGGAGCAATTGGTTTACACAGAAGTGAAGAGGTCAACTTCCTTCACTATGCGCACTACAGCTTTTCGCAACTTAAAACAACTATAGAAAGCAACATTACACAAAGCAAAGGACAAAACAAAAATTAATCAATAACTAACCTACAGGTATCTTTGACTGGGTTGGTTGGGGGTAGACATCCAGACCCTCCTGCTGCTGAATACATGTTCAACTGTGCAAGGTTAAGAACAGGCACAAAAGGCAAAAAATTCACATCCAGCAATATTAGTGGAGGTTTCAAGGATGTTCTGTTCATACCATCAGATAGTGAATGCTGCATTATAGGGGAGGGACCTCAAGTGGAAGAAAACATTTTTTTTTTTACTGAAGAGTTTATCATAGTTTGCATGGCTTACCAATGCAAGGATGAGCCTGTGCAATGATACTGTTCAACTGCTGGTGACAGGACTTCAGTAATACCATGGCATATAAATACAACATGACTCAGCACTGGCCAGTGCTTTGTGTCACAAATAAATAATACTATTTACAACGCAGAAAGTATTTTAAATTAAAATAAATATAACCACAAATAAAGATACTGTAGACAGAGCATAATGCCACCATAAATCCATAATTTACATTGTGTTTCATATGACAATTATCTCCAAAACTGCTGATAAAATGAAGCATGAAGTTACAACACATTCTCTGATTCCCTGGAATTCTGCCTCAACTCCTGCTTCACTATGCCATTAAACAGGCTCCATTCCCAAACCCCAACAATTAAACCCTCGCCCGCACCAGAATCAGAAGCTTTGCCTGCTTTCTGTTGAGGACAGGATCACGTCACAAAAATGAACCTGTCTCCAGAATCCCACTTCCTCAGCCAAAATACAGCCTCAATGTCATGATGAGGACCTATATGTATTTTTCAGCACAGTAAAATCGAAGTGCTGCAGATGTTGGAAATCTGAAACAAAAACAGAAATTGCTGAAGAAACTTAGCAGGTTTGGCAGCACTGTTCAGAAAAGTCTTATCAGACTTCAAATGCTACATCTGTTTCTCTCTCTACAGATGCTACCAGACCTGCTGAATTTCTCCAGTATTTTCTGTTTATATTTCAGCCCAGGAATTGGCACTGCCAAAATCATCTGATTTATTTTAAAGCTTATCTGTGGTGAAGGGTTCTTCTGTGAAGACTTTCAATCACACATCTTGATAAAAAGCCTTTATGATGATAGGCATGTTCCATTGACGTAATGCAGCCAAAATGTAATTGGTTACCAGTGACCGCATTCGCAATTCCATTCATTAAGGTGGATCACAAGCCAACGATGAGATTTGAAACTTGTTTTGGTTTAGTTTTATCAGTTTAATAAACTGGGTTATGTAGAATCTGCAAAAAGTTGATATAACTCTGGGGCCACTCAGAGAAAATTCTAGTAGGGACAAGTTTTATTCCAAAACTTATCAGTGAGGACAGACCAATCTTGTTCCCAGAAGTATTCACCCTGTCAGTGGTGTTTAAGGGCATTATCTGTGACTGCTTACAATAGAGAAACATAATAGAAAATTCTGCAGGTGAACAGCACATGAAAGAAGAAGGCAGACTAATGTTTTGGGTAGAATTCCGTATTGCAAGGGTTGAAATGGTAAGTATTAATTGTAGATGAAGAAGAATCTCAACTGAAGGCTGGCTTGTCTTTCTCTTTCAGGTACTGACTGAACGCTGGGCCTCCCTTATTCCCTTTGATTCAGATTCCTACTATCAATTCGATATTTTAAAGGTTTTGCCCTGTCTTAAAGATGACTTTGTGCTATCTATTAATGTATTCTTTTATGGCTATTTTATACTATTCTAGAACTTGACAAAAACATGCTAACATCCAGCTCCACACTATTGTTGACCTCTAAATGTAACTGTTTGTAGAACTGTGCAAACACTGCATGTATTAGGGTAGAGGATTATATTCCAAGCAATCAGTTTCAATCCAGATCAGAATACAAGACATGACAACTGTAGCTATCTATTACAGTATCATCAGTCCACTCAGTCACAGTTTTAAGATTTCAAGTATAGTCTAATACATCAGCTCTAAAATAGCTGAATAATTCTGCAAAATATCCAGAACAACGTATTTCTTAGGCAAGCCTTAGTTTTTAATTTCAAACCTATATATTTTCTTTATTTCTACCGATTTAGTGGCTTAACTGATTCTCACATTAAATTTTATGCAGGCCCTCGCAATCGAATTCCTAACCATTACTTTCTAACTACTGGTTTTCATTCAAAAGGCATTTAGTTCAGTCCAATTTGTTTTTTGCTGAGAAGTTATATTTTAGTAACAGGAAAAATATAATTAGTTATGAGAAAAGAATGTTACATCTTACTTCTGATTGGTGCTGTACTAGTTATAGCATCTGTGGCCTACAAGGTTATTTCAGGCAAATAGATGTTACCAAAACTCCAAGGCTGAACTCTGGTTCTCCCAATACTCCCGTTTTGCCATCAGAAATGTATTTTATTGTGAAATCCGTGTCCTGTATTTGCCAAATTTGTATTTATATAATAACTTTACTGCAGAAGAGTATCCTAGAGTACTCCACGGAGTCGGAGGGAGAGGCTGACGTAGTGGTAATATCACTGGGCTAGTAATCCAGAAGACAAGAGTAATGCGCCTGGGTCCCAGAAACTTGAAATTTAAATTAAGGGTGGAACGGTGGCTCAGTGGTTAGCATTGCTGCCTTACAGTGCCAGAGACCCAGGTTTAATTCTAGCCTTGAGTGACTATCTGTGTGGAGTTTGCACGTTCTCCCCGTGTCAGTGTGGGTTTTCTCCAGGTGCGCTGGTTTCCTCCCACAGTCCAAAGATGTGTAGGTTAGGTGGATTAGCCATGTGATATACAGAGTTACCAGCATAGGGTAGAGATGTGAGTCTGGGTGGGATGCTCTTTGGAGAGTCGGTGTGGACTTGTTGGGCTGAACGGCCTGTTTCCACATTGTAGGGATTCTATGGAAAATCTGGAACTGAAAGCTAATTCATGAAACTACTGCAAAATCATATTTGGTTCACCAATGCCCTTTAGGGAAAGAAATCTGCCTTCTGTACTCAGTCTGCTCCTTACCAAGCATTGTGGTTGATCCTTAACCTTGCTCTGCAATAGACTAATAAACCACTCAGATGGTAGGCAATTACAGATGGGAAACAAATGCTGGCTTTGTCAGGAACACCCACTTCCCATCAAAGAAGATAAAAGTTAAGAGTTAAAAGAAATGGACAATGAGGAGTGTTTTAGGAAGGGCCTTAAAAAGGCATTCAGAGGTGGAGAATGTGCGCTTGGGAAAGGTGAATGGCCACACAGATGGTTGAAGGAAAGGGATTGCATAATTGCGCTGATTGAGGGGAATAGAATTCGTTGATTGACGGGGGATTTGTGCTGGAGGAAGTTGCAGACATAGTGAGGGAAAAACAATGAAGGAATTTTAAAACATATATATATAAATTTAATACTTAAAGTGATGGAGGACTCACATCAATGGGATTCAAAGTCAACGTGAGCAAGCACGATTGATCTCAGGGTGAAGGTCATAATGTTAGAAGCTGAAGTTGACAGCTTGTGATAATGAGTACGTGGGGATTGGAAGCTCGGATTGTTATCAAATACATTCAGCCTGACATTGTGATTTTAGGAGAGATGAAGCATTATTGGCAATGGTACCAGTACTAGCAGCCTAACTCTCCAGCCACACCATCCTGACTTGGAAATATATTTTCATTCCATCAGTATCTGGGTCAAAATCCTGGAACTCCCTCCTTCACAGCATTGTGGAAGTACCTACACCAAACGAACTGCTGCAGTTCAAGAAGGCAGCTCACCACCACCTTCTCAAGGGCAACTGTAGATGGGCAATAAATACTGGGCCAGTCAACGATGCCCACATCCCGATAGTGAATCAGAAAACTAGACCATATAGCCCCTTGACTTACTCTGCCATTCAATATGTCCATCGCTGACTTTCTGCCTCAACTCTACTTTCCCATGCACTCCCCATAATATTTAATTTCCTGAGAGATCAAAACTGTATCTATTTCAGCCTTAAAAATACTTAATGATGGAGTATTCACAAGATCTTAAAAAGATACCAAGTTTGAGGTGGGGAGTGAAGACAATCCGTTTCATCTTTCCACTATTTAGCTGGAGTGAAATGAAGCTTCTCAATATGCACCTCGCAAATTTCTATCTTATTAAAAGGTGTGCGCGGAAGGGAGTGAGCTCAATTTGCAGCATTGCGATGGATTTAGGAGCTGCAGAAGAAGTAAAAGTAACGATCAAAGGAAAGGTTACAGGACCAGGTTAAATACTATTAAAGGACTGAATTTCTGTACAGTTTTCCTCATTACTCACTGTAAATTCAGCAAAAGATCCGCTGAAGACCCGGTGATACAGCATAACCAATATTCTGCTGAAGGATGAGTAGGAAAACACCAAACGTACTCAATAATTAGATTAACAATCATCAGCCTTACAAAATCAACCTTGCCATAAATAATTTGTTCTCAACTAAATACCTAACACATTTGAAAAGATTACTGGTCTTATATTAGTCAAATTTGCAGATTTAAAAATAGAAATATGAGTTGAAATGGTTCGAAGAAAATTTATGGGAATATTCTCAGGACATTAAGCTCCTGCACAACCACAATTAACAATGCTTTTGTGAATGTGAATTGGGTTGAAATGTAAACCAGCACCAGCTCCCGGGCTTAGCAGCCAAAAATATTTAAATGAGCAATTTACAGGCCATAACTGGATAGTAACTGCAAGAGAAATCTCACAGCATCTTTGAAGAAACGCTCCAGTTGTTTATCGTACATTTTTAAAATTTAACCTAAATAGCCAACAAAAGACCAGTGGCAACATTTTGTGATACCTTCTTGATCATCTGAGCCCCGACTGTCCTTAGCTGATCTTGAAGCAGCCTTGCTTCCATCAGAATAAAGAGGAAAATTAGGATCCAAGAAACTTGTGTCACATTTTTTCTTTTGGCGCTCTTTTCTCAACTGACGTTTCTCTCGATTACTGATTTTCATAACCCAGTCACCTAGAATATAATAAAAATTTAACTCATACAACACTCTACAATGTTGAACAGCTCAATAATTCACATAGTGAATATTGACGTGGAACGAATCTTGTCATGTAGGCAAAAAAACCTTGCATTACAGACATAAACACCATTTGAATATGACAGATTTGTTGCCTGTAAGATCGCCATAACAGGTGAATAGGAATCTGATCCAAGTACAGTTACCTCTGGTAATAATTCTGCTCAACAGTTGACACTATTTTCAACAACTCTTGCTAACAGTAGATCACACCATCGAAGTGAACATACTCAATTTAAGCTGTTGTTGCAATCACTACCAGTGATTAAAAAAGACATAAAATCCAAATCAACTGGAAGTTTGGTCACTGTTACAGTATGTATTTACTGCCTTTTGTTTTTGTTGGCTTTTCTATTCTCTTTATTTTAGCTTTCTCAGTTTCTACATTTTACGTTATCATTGTGGTCAGACCTATTTATTTGTAATGTTCAGACCATATTGACTAACAATGATAATTTGGTTTTCAACAGTGTCTACTTGAAAAAATGCAAATTACTTTAGACAATGAAATTATTTTATGCCTTCAGAGGATTTTTCTCCCTTCTACAAAAAACAATACTGCAGAAATTATCAAAAAAAAGGTAAATAGCAAATAACAGCAATATATAGTAAATAAATTTCAATTGAATTTATATATACTTGGACGTCAAAAGGAATATTAATCTCAGCACTAGAAGACTACTGATTTAATACTTTTTTTTTACAAACATTGGTTCTTTTCTTTAACTTTTTACCACTGTGAAAGTTACATTGAGTTTGGAATCTTCAAAGTTTAGGGTCAAACCAATCATTTGATTTTAAAACAACTGATTTTTACCAGCCCTTTTGCAACAGGATAGGAGATCGGAACGTAGTACAATAGCTAGGGAAGGCGCAGAAAGGCACGACTGTTGTCCTTCCATTTCACCAGTGGCATGAAAGGTGGCAGACAGTCCACCTAACTGTTTCCCAACTTAGCTATATAAATGACGTACTAAGGTCCTATTTTCACCTCTGCTTGCTATTGACTAGTGGTTGCTGAAATTTTCCATTATCTAGGGAGACCCCAGTTAAACCTCAATGAACTCAAAACTAGAACCATAGGGTGCCCACCTTTTGCAACATTCTTTTGCCATGGAGGATTCCCCTATCCTGGCAGTAATGGCTACATGTGAGAATGATGTAGCATACCCTTGGTGACACTCAATTCCCAATCCCAACTCAGCCCAAACTCCTAAATTTCACTTATCTGCCTTGAGGGCACATGGTCATCAATTAGCCCTCAACCGGAAGGTGTAGCTTCAGCAATAAGTGGTCTCTGGGGTAGGCAAGTCCAGCAGAATGTGGTCACTGGTTTCAATGCTCAATAAAGTGAAGTCACTCCCACTTGCAACCTCGGTGGCAGGAACATAATAACATACAAAATAAGAACAGGAGTAGGTTGTTTTGCCCCTTGAGCCTGCTCCACCATTCAATAGCACCATGGCTGATCCAACTATCCTCACGTCCACTTTCCTGCCCCTTCCCCACAGCCCTTGGTTCCTCTACTGATCAAGAATCTATCTAACTCAGCCTTAAATATACACAAGGTCTCCGCCTAAAGCTGTCTCTGGTAAGGAGGTGTAAAGCCTCACATCTCAGAGAAGAAATTCCTCTTCATCTCAGTCTTAAATTAGTGCCCCTTTATTCTGAGAATATGCCTCTGTTTCGAGACTGTCATGAGGGGAAATGTCTTCTCAGAATGTGCCCTTACAAATCCTATACATTTCAATGAGATCACTTCTCATTCTTCTAAATTCCAGAGTACAGTCACAACTTAACTTTTGCTCTTAAGACAATCCCTCTATACCAAAGACCATTGTAGTGAACCTTCTCTGAACTGCCTCCAACAACATAATCTCTTTTCTTAATATGAACCCTGGCTGTCTCAGTAAAATTCCATCCAGCACCTTTAAGTACCTTGAAACAGTTTCCTCGATCGCTTGGATTCAATTAATGCAACCAATTATACAGCATTGTGCATGTTTCTATTATAAAGCTCAATGGTAACAGACAAAATCTCACAATGATTGCAATGGAAATTGAAGCATCAGCCTGCATTACAGTTGTGTCTAAGTGTGAAAACGATGTGGCCCACAATTACGAAGCTAGAAAAAATGGCTTCTAAACTCAGGCAAAGCCTAGCACCAAACTCATCCACATTATTTGAGTGCGCCATCAAGTTTACTGGCAGACTTGCCAGTGCACAACATTTCTGTGTGCAAACCCCTCAGTATGTTTTTGAATGCTATTCCTCCAACATTCTCATCTAAACTCTTTACAGCAGATATGGTATGCAACTGTGCACTCCAGTGAACTGGCACCTGTGCTGCCCTTTCCCTCTGCCATGGATATAGCTTGCTTGTGTCATGTATGCCATGATGTGCAGATTCCACTACACTAAGGTAGGCTAAGGTACATGTAATGTCTGGTGTGACAGCTGCAAATGTGAAAGTGATATTCACTGCACGGTATGGTCATTCTCGGGACCGTGTAGGGACCCCACGGCCTCATAGCAGCAGGAACCCAGGTTTGATTCCAGCCTCAGGCGACTGTCTGCATAGATTTCTTCCAGGTACTCTCAGTTCAAAGATGTGCAGATTAGGTAGATTGGCCATGCTAAATATTGGTCCACAATGGCCAGAGATGTGTAGGTTAGGAGAGTTAGCCATGGCGAAAACCCCATTTGGGGTTACAGGGATGGGTCTGGAATGTGGGGCTGGGTGGGATGCTCTTCAAAGGTTCGGTGCAGACATGATGGGCTAAATGGCCCCTTTCTGCACCACAAGGATTCTATGATTCTTCATTATTATTGCTTTCTTTCTCTCCCACACCTTGCTTCTTCAACACTATGCACATGGCAGTTCCTGGGTGCCTGAAAAGAGAAAGGCACAACCTCACAGCGAGAAGGGAAGGTGGGAAAACAGAGAGGTGCATGATTAGATTGGGTGCAAAGAATACCTTGTGGGATCAGTAGAAAGTTGAATGTTTGAAGGAAGATGAGACATTAGCATATCATCACCTTCCATTCTTTTAGCCATGGACTCAGTCAGCCCATGACCTAGTCCTGGACACTGCAATGGCCTGCATGATCTCCTCCACTGCAGTGAGGATATGTAGCCTTGCCTGTACCCTGGCAATTTTGGGCTGCTGCTGGTTGCCATTGGCTGTCAGAGTGAGGAGTTCCAATGAGTCTAAGTATTCTGGATGACTTTTTTTAGTCATTCATGGGATGCGGGCATCACTGGCTGGGCCAGCATTTATTGCCCACCCTGAAATGGCTCTTCAACTAAGTAGCTTGCCAGGGCTAATTTGGAGGACAGTTAAGAGTCAAACACATTGCTATGCTTCTGGAGTCACATGTAGTCCAAAAATGATGTATTTCATTCACTACAAGACATCAGAACTCTGACCTCTGGCCACCATGGTTCTCACCTCTTCCTGCCTTTGAAGCGTCTGATTGATGAGTCTCCTAGTCTCAGGTGGATGGAATACCTCTTCCATCCTCTCCATCTCCTGCACTAGAGCCTACAAAAACTTGGAGCAGGCCTCTTTCCAGTTTCTTTCCATGATCAAACTCATTCTTAGAATGATTTCCAATGACTGTGACAGGTAAAGTGATCAAAGATGCTGCAAATACTCATAAGTCTGTGGTTTTTACCATGAGGTTCTTCCAGGTCTCTGATAACAGAGGCTAATCCCATAATCTGCTTATTTTGCTTTCTTATTTAAGAGTCTTAGCTAATTTTAAATAATCTCTACACAGCTTGTGTTGGGCATCGTGCGCCTTGGAAATTGTCAAGACATCTCCCTCAAACTTAAACAGTGCTCTCTGGTCTCTTCCTTATGAGTACTTTGTTCACAACTTAGCACAAAACACTTCTTGCATCGATCGCCTCAAAAAGCAAAGGAAAAAGAAACTAATCCATGCCACCAAAGATGTTCCTCCTTTAACTGGAACTTTACAATTTCAAGATCACTCTTACTTGTGGTATTCAAACTCACCAGCATCTTCCTCATTTTTTTCTTTGTTTCCTGAAATACTTTGCTCTGTTGATTTCTCATCTAAGCGCTGTCTTTTCTTCTTGACCTGTCAAAGAATAGAAACACTGTTTTCAGCAGAGAGAGAGAGAGAGAGAGAGAGACAGAAAGAGAAAGAAAGGTTTCATCAGCCCTTTGGAGACAGGCTGGGAGGGAGGAACACTGGCAAAACCACAGCTTGGGCTCTGGGAGGAAAAGCCTACATGGCTGGGCAGTGGCCAACAATTAATCAGCTGATTAAGAGCCACTTCCTGTCTATGCCAGTATTTCTTCAGTACTGAGATGAACCCTCCTATTTGTGTGGAGAGACTGTCAAACATATTGAGATGGCATTCTAACAGACTCCAGGGAGAGGTAATTCTGGTATGGTCACTCTGGTGCTCATGTATGGACCCCATAGCAACACTCTACTGGAGATTCAGCCCATCAATCAGGAAGTGGGGACTGCCTGCCAGGTTGCAGCACATAAAAAAACCACTAACTTGCCCCATTGAGGATACCTCAAAATGGAGACAACATTGTCTTCTCTTTGCAACCTCAGCTGTAATCACCTCTATCAATGCCACCACCAGGTCTGCTGAGTTACTAATCCTCTGATAGAGCCAGCGATTTTGAGAGGCAGGCTGGGCAGTGGGCCTGGAGACAGCCTCTTAAATCAGTCATGTCATAAAATCCCCACAGAATCTCATCATCCACCCGCACAAGCTCTGGAGCCATTTTTGGTATCGGACAACAAGACCTCAAATAAAATTCCAGCTAGAATTTTCAAATACAAACATGTGCAATGCACACATTTAAACAAAATGGCTGCTTAATTAAACTTGCGTCATACATCTTCTTGTTATTTTCATATGAAAATCAAATACTAATGAGGGCAGATGGGCTGCAAATTACTGTGACATATTTCTAGGAGATTGTCTCTGCACTCTTTGTGTGTGGAGTTTGGCTTAAGTACAGACCCCCAAATATCAAAGTTAAAAGTAGATTAATGCTAATTTCCCATTGTCAAGCTTTCAAAATGCAGATGCTGTAAATGATCATGGCTGTCTTCCTGGAGTTACTCTGCAAGTTTTCACAATGAAATATCTGTAACTGTAACATTCCACCCTTCAATTTACACCCACTTTTGACTCTGCTGCATTTCTAATAATACGTATTTAAAATGATTAAAATATTGAACTTAAATACAGCAATTGAAAGCTTGGCAAAGAAGTGGAATAGATTCTCAGCTGAAGCAGCTAACATGTTGAATAACTCATTCAAACAACAGCTGCAAGACTACCTGCTGCTTTAGGAGTTAAGAATGGATGGAGATTAGTGTTTGCCATGCAATAGCTGAGAGATGGTTTGCATCTGGTCAAAAATATATGTCAGATTGAGTAGACATTCTGCAGTCTTGCTAGACAGCCTCAAGATATTTGCAGAACCATTCCTCAGAAAAAATGTATTGGTATGAAGGAACAGATTACGTATCGCCTGTCAGAAGAATGGGCTTGATGTACCACTGACTCAGACAGTCTGGATCTGAATATTCCCCTTGACCTTGAGACAAGCACAGTAAACGTTGTTCAGTTCACTGACTGATAAAAACAAACTTGTCAAGCAAATTTATTCAATGTTCTGAAATCCTACACTTGTGATTGAACAGGTGGCTATGTTATCTGACAGCTTAAAAGGGCCAGCAGTGAAAGAGCTAGTCAGCAACAACTACTCAAAAATCAAAAATCAATCTAATGCTTATTGCATGTTTTCAACCTGGTCGTTCCACATGATTGTGGGTTTGCAGATCAGAATTTTTAAAAAATGCTCTTCAAGAGGAAAGCAAACAATAAAAAGACAGAAGAACTACGAAAATTGACAATGCATTGACTATATTTTCCAAACCAAATAAAATTTTAAATTCTGGGAGGTTTTATAGATTCTCCAATAGCTGACTCCCACCATCAAGGTTACTGACCTGCCCCCTCATCCCCCACCAGTCCCACATTCAGAATGTCAATTAAATAAAACTAAAATCAGCTCATTCTCTCCTTGTCTAGTCTATTGTCAAGACATACATATTTTTTCATTGTACTTCTGAAAGTTTGAGCACAAGAAACGGATCATTTGGTCCGTTCAGGAGCTTTTCCCGACATGAGCTCTGTCTTCTGATCCTACTCCTTTGACTGTTCCCTGCGCTTGTTGACATTCCTCTTTCTCAGGCAACAATTTGTTTCATAACTAACTTGCCACGAGTACACTTGCCAAAGCAAATGTAATAGAATTTTAGTGAAGCTGGTGTAATGTCCCAGTATATATCTATCTGAAAAGTTTAGCCTCGACTAGCACTGGAAGCTATCAGCAAAAGTATACACTCAGGTTATCGAAAGGTGTTGTCGAATATTTACCTGATTTATAAGAAACAACTTTAATAGTAAGAAAATAAGTGCTAATATTGATACTTTTGTGGAGTTTGTGTAGGAGGTGCCTTAACTGAAGGAGTGGTTTACAAATAAAGCCACAGAGAACATTTTGAGCACAATAAACCTGCTTCAAATCACCAAGGCTCAATAAAAGGATGATTGTACTGGAAGCAAATCTGAGACAGATGTACAGGTAAGGCCTATTATCTTATGGACAGTTACTGCGGCACAGATAGTCTCATTGAGTTCGGTATGTTTTTTAATCTTGTCTGCCTTATTAGGCCAGGTGCTAACTGATCTGGATGTAATCAACTGAATTGTTAAGTTTAAATCATCAACTCCACAAATTATTTACTACGTCACTGCAATATGCAATTCTGAGATACAGCGTGAAACACAAACACCCTAAAAAATCTGAACAGTTTCCCTGACAACCTAAAGAATTGCAAAACATTCTTGCAGCTGTTCTGCTAATGCTTTGCAAACTCACATAATGTATGTTCACCCAAACAGGTGATGTGTTACTTGAACACATTTTGATGCTGGCAGAGCCAATCTTATATGAGAAGAAAGGAAACATCATGTGATTTTAATCAAAGTTTCTTCAGATAAAAAAGGGAAAAAGAAACACAGTCTCATTGTGCCTTTACACCATCATTTTGTCGTTGACACAGCAATCTAAAACTAAATCCAAAGCAGTGAACCTGCTCTTTCTGCATGCTCCTAGGTATGAATCTACCTCAAATGCCTATCTATTCTTCCCTTAAAAGATACATAAGAAACAGGAGCAAGAGCAGGGCCATTCGACCTCTGGGGTTTGCTCCACTATTCAGTGAGATTGTAGGTGATCTTCTACTTCAACTCTATATTCCCATATTATCCTCAAACTCCTTAATTTCCTTAGCATCCTAAAATTACGTGATCTCTGTCTTGAATAAACACAACAACTAAGCATGTATAGCTCTCTGAAGGTGGGGAATGCCAAAGATTCAATGAGTGAGAAATTTCTCCTCACCTCAATTCTAACCAGCCAACCCTCGAAATTAGAATGTAAACTCCGAATATCTACACTCCCCAGCAGGGGTAAACAACTTCCTAGCATCCCTCCTGTGAAACCCTTAAGGATTTTATATATCAATGAAATCATCTCTCATTCTTCAAAACTGTAAGGAATGTAAGCCTAGTGGACTTAATCTCTCCTCAATGACAATTCAGTAGTGGTTGCTGCCTCAATTATACTGTATAGCAAAGTATTCTATGCAATAACAGCACACTGCATAAAGAAATTTATTACATCTCAATTGATACTTTAAAATTTATAACTCTTTTGTCACTGACTTACAATTACATATTCTCTTTCTTTTTCATTCTACTGAAACCTTTCTCATAACATAGGAACTGGCACCTTCTGCTCTTACTCGGGTACAATGTCCTACGGCATACTCAATGAATAGTGGAAAAGCACAACCCAAAAGATAAATTGAATGGTGATGTCTTCAACGTACCTTAAGACCTTTCTTCTCTGTAGCTTGTGACTCTTTTGTTTCTTCTGCAACAATTAGTTGTATGTCATTTGAAAGGGGAGGATGTCCGTTCAGTGGCACCTTGAAAGAAATGCAGAAGTAGATTAGCAGATTGATTCATTTTCTAACAAAAGTTGAAGTACACAGCAAACTAAAAGTTTGCCTTTGGAAATAGTCTAATCAATTATCTTATTTTAATTATTAAAAGCAGAATCTCACAGTGGAAAGACTCATACAGTCTTAGAGATATACAGCACAGAAACAGACCCTTCGGTCCAACTCGTCTACGCCGACCACGTATGCTAAATAAATCTAGTCCCATTTGCCAGCATTTGACCCATATCCCACTGAACTTTTCCTATTCACATACCTTTTCAGATGCCTTTTACACTTAAAAAAAAGTTACATATTTTAAAAGTAAAAATTAATCACAAACAATGTTGCTGTTTGAAATCATGATTAGAAATACTGCTTACTGGTAAATGAATTACTGACCACAGAAAAACTGACCAACTCTTGCAATATCAGAGGACATTCCCCATTAGGTCCAAAATCTTACATAATTGCAAGGGTCATACAAAGCCACTTTGCCCAATCAGTCCATGAGCTAAGGTTTACGCTTCACTCACACACCTTCCAATCTTTCTCATCTAATTCTACCAGTGTAGTCCTCTACTCTCTTCTGCTTCACACACTTATCCAGCTTCCCTTTAAATACATTTAATCTTTTCACCTCAACTAGATGCTGTAATGGTTTCACATTCTCCCACTTTTTGGCCTAAGTAAGTTTCTATTAAATCCCCGATAGAATTTATTGATAACCGTCCTACATTGATGGCCTGTAATTTTGCTCTTTCCCACAAGCACAGACTCTCAGTATTCTGTACACTATGAAAAACTTAATTTTACTGAGCTTTTATTACTGATCCAATAGCTTTTAACTAATTAATTGGAGTACTTCACAGTACAAACTTAAAACATGATAAATGTTGAAAATGTACATTTTTCAAAGGCTGAAATTGAAACAGCTATTTTAGATGCAGTCCATTTGAACTGATCCATTTGAAATTAGCATTGGTTTCTATTTTAGAGTAGCTCAGAAAACTGCTGAAGTTCAAGCATAATTTATATTAGAATATGAACAAAATTGAATCAAAACACAGAGTAGACCTGCGTGGTTTATCTTGAAGCTGCTGTAAATCATGATGTAATCGTAAGCTTAGGGTCGATGAGGTTGTTTTTCATACCTATATAAATAGCTGTTCTTTCAGCCAATACATTAATAAAATGTTTCTATGCCAATTTGCAAAAAATCAGACTTATTAAAAGAGCGAACTGAATTTGTTTGTTTGAAGTATTTTCTATTTAATTCATCCACAACTAACATTTTCCCAAGTGAGATACATTAAATAGTGCACATTTGAAAAATTACTTCAAGGAAATTATGTTTTATTATTGAGTATAATAAATTTGTGTTTTATGATATTTTATTGGGGGCATGTAGGAATGTACAGTAGAAGTTTAAATCAGCCATAATCTTATGGAATGGCAGAGGTGGTTCGAAGGGCAGAGTGGCCTAGTCTTATTCCTTGTTCTTTTGTCATTATTAGAATGTAACAATGGCAAAGCTTTTCCTACTCTCTGCAGATGACGAGTTTGTTCAAACAACAGAACAGAGCACTTTATAAGAAGAAGTTTAATGATTCGGCTTAAAAGACAAACGTAAATCACAAACTTAAAAGAAGTGTCAAAAGATTGACAAGTCGGCTGTGCTAGCCTGCACAGGCTGTGGATATGTTATTGCTATTACTGAATAGTGCCAACATAGCATGATTGTGGAATACGTAAATTGCTCACTCCCACACATAGTGAAACCTCAAAGAAAAAACAGAACTTGCTGGCGAAACTCAGTAGGTCTGGCAGCATCCATGGGGAGAAAGCAGTAACTTGATTCAAGATGTTGACACTGCTTTCTCCCCACAGATGCTGCCAGATCTGCTGAGTTTCTCCAGCAATTTCTGTTTTTTTCAGATTTTCAGCATCTACAGTTCTTTGTTTTATCATAGTGAAACCTCAACCTGCCTTCTACTGCAAATTCTTATCTGTGAGAAAAGCACAGAATTTTCAATAAAATCAGGTCACACTTTTTTAAAATTGAGTGGGCAATGCCATATAGAAAAGAACAGATATTCACTGCTATATAGAAATTTAATTCCAAATAATATTACTGAAATTTCTTTTTCCAATGTATGATCTGGCACAACAGGATATAAATAACTCAAGCTCTCACTGTATTCAAATTTGCGATCTCTGACTCACCAACACAGATGACATGTATAACATTGTTGTATCAAGATCAATTGTAAAAAGAATACTTTGCCTGCTTTACGCCAAGCTGATTTCAAAGACGATAGGCAAAGCTGGTAAAAATCCAGCAGAAGATTCGCTGCCTTGGGAGGGCTGTCTACAAAGTCTTCTCAGAGTAGAGATTTCCAAGATGGGAATTGGCAATTGCACATAGTCTCACACTTATTACAAAGAACAAAAGCAAGCAGGGCTTTGATCAATTCAGTTCTCCCCACCTTTACTCTCAGACCGGACTACTTCCCAGCAAACAGAATCACAATTTACGTCAAATAATTCCCAATTTAACATTAATCCTGCCATAAATGTAGACAAGCAAAGAAACATAAATTAATTGATGCATCCGTCACGAGTACAGCACAATCTAGAGGTACAATAGCCTTAAAAAAGACGTTTACATGCAAACTCTTGAAAATGAAAAAAAAAGGCCTGAGAAACAAAAGCACCACAAAAGTTCAGAGAAACGTACCATACAAAATGTGAAAAACTTTTGTTTGTCAGTGATAATTAAGTAGTGTACAGCTTTCCAATCTGCTTATCTATTATTCTTTCTAAGCTTAAAGCGCACAAATTTGTATCTTATAGTGTGATAAAAGTTGATTATACAACTGGATAAACAGCACATTTTTTAGCTGAGTTACGTGTACCAAATATGGTGGCTTGGGGTAATTTAGTTCAGTTGGTTGGACAGCTGGTTTGTAATTTAGAGTTACACCAATAGCATGGGTTCAATTCCAGTACTGGGAGATCACCATGGAGGCTCTGGCTTCCCAATCACAGCTCTCATATGAGATGTGGCGACCCTCGTGGTAAATTTACCGCCAGCCACCTCCCTCTAACGAGACAGCAGACTATGGTCCTCTGGGACCATGATGACTTTCACATATCGCTGTAATATCTCCAGCTGGATCCAAAATCTGGTATTTAAACTGAGCGCAGTCATTTTCTTGACTGCCACAAGTAAGCATTGCAGCCTAAAACTTTGCTTAGAATTTCCTGATGGAATTTCTTCAGTCACTTAAAATGTTTATAAGAATTGTCAGCTAATCTTCTGTCACAGAAGGTGGAGATTAGGAAACCACTGCTGAAGTTACATTTCCCTTCTTGCCATGCAGACAGCATGCACGGGACAAACTCTGTGAAGGGAGGAAGAAAACAGGAAAATTATAAGCCAGTCACCTCAACATCTGTCATAGGAAAGCTGGTAAAATTGATCATTAAAGAGATTATAGCTGCGCTCTTAGAAAATCTCATGGTAGTTGTGAAGAGTCAGCATGGTTTAATCAAAAGGAAACCACGTTGAGCCAATTTATTGGAGTTCTTTGAAGGAGTAACATGCACTATAGATGCACTAAGAGGAGCCTGCAGACAAAACATATTTTTATTCCAGAAGGCATTTGATACGGCGCCACATCAAAGATTATTGCAGAAAATAAAAGCTCATGTTTCTGGGGAGGTAGGAGGCAAATATGTGCATGGGCAGAGATTGGTTGGTGTGCAGAAAAGACTTTGTGTAAATGGGTCTTTATTTCATTGGCAGGCTGTGATGACTGGAGTCCCATAAGGGTTTGTGCTGGAGCACCAACTTTTTACATCAAAGACTTAGATGAAGGGAGCAAAGGCACGGTAGCTAAATTTGCAGACAGCACCAAGATAGGTAGGAAAGTATGCCATGAGGAAGACAGAAGGAAGTTGCAGACAGATATAGATACTTGAGTGCGTGAGCAAAAATTAACAGATGGAATATAATATAGGAAAATGTGAAGTTGTTCACGTTGCAGGAAGAATGAAAATGCGAAGTACTGCTTAAATGGAGAGGGAAAATAGAATTCTAATGTGCAGAGGGATTTGGTTGTTCTCACACTTGAGTCACATAAATTTCTATACAGATACAGTACATAGTCAGGAAGACTAACTAGATACTGTCCTTATGGGAGGAAGTGAACATAAAAGTAAGGCGACTATTCTTCAGTTATACAGTGGTTGGTGAGACCACATCTTAAATGCTGTGTGCAGTTGTGGTTTCCTTACATAAGCAAGGATGTAAATGCATCAGGATGGTTCAGATGACATTTACCAGGTTGATACTTGGAATGAGCAGGTTGTCTTATAAAGGATAGGTTGGACACTTCAGACTTCTTTCCACTGGAGTTTACGGAGTGGAGGTGGGGGTGGGGGCGGTGTGACTTGATTGAAGTATATAGGATCATGGATGGTCCCAAAAAGATGGACATGGAAAGGATATTTCCACTTGTGCGTCAGTCCACAACTATGAGACACAACTTTAAACGTAGGGGTCTCCTTTATGGTCAGAGTTGGGGATTTTTCTTCCTCTCTCACAGTGCTGTACAACCTTGAAACACTGTCTCAGAAGATGGCGGAGGCAGGGTTATTGAATATTTTTAACAGAGGTGGATAGATTCTTGTTAAGATACATTAATCAGGCTATCAGGGTCAGATGGAATGAGGAATTTAAAAAGTCAAACGGTTCAGTCATGATCATATTGAACAGTAGAGAGGGTTCGAGGGGCTCAATGATCTTCTGCTCCTGTTTCATTTACTCCTATGTATGTTTGGAAATTTATTTATGAATTTGAAGATAGCCATTTAAGGTGAGTGGTAAAGATTTAAAAGGGACCGGAGGGGCAATTTTTCCACACAGAGGTTGATGTGTGTATGTAACGAGCTGTCAGAGGACATAGTGGCGACAGGTACAA